AAGAGAAAATTTAGCGAAAGTATCAGACGAGAAATATAATATTGCAAATACAAAAAGAGAGCACGATTCCATCGTATCGATTTTCTTTCGTGTGATTCTCTTGGACTCTTTGAGCAGGAATCTCGTAGACTCTTTCGTGTAAATATACATAGCAACTGTATAATATATCTGTACCAAAGTCAAGATAAACCGAACGATTTTTCGAGATTAGCTTCTCACATCGATCGAGCAATAATTATTTAAACTTTATGCTTTCGACTTAAGATCTGAAGAAGAAAAAAATGGCGCACAAATTTCGAGTCGAAAACAAATAGATTTTAAAATACAAGGATTTAACAAACCTGGATCTATCTGGATCCAAAAAACGCAACATTTCTCAAGAAGCTAAAATCCATGGATTTATTAATATTATTAAAAGATATAGCTTGTGACAACTATAGCAACGAGTCGATGCGACTTCATGTGCATTTGTGCATATCGAAAAGTAACGGTTTGTCAGAAGTGATCTTACCTTTCGATATATATATCGTGTATCAAATAAATCCAAATTTATAATCTGTCGTATCAACTTGTAACTATCGTTATTTCACGTGACGTTTCTTAATAATTACAATACCGGGATGAGAATATCTTGAATGCAGAAAAAAATACACACTGCTCTACAGGATACAAAAAGAATCCAATACATACCGAATATGCTGCGTTTCTTCCAGATCAAGTAGATGTATCTTTTGCGCGATATATAGACGCCTCCTAGAATAAAAATTCAGATAAATGTGTTGTGCGTATCATGCGCGTGTTGTGTGATAAGCTTAATTTAGGAAGGACGACAATAATTTGGGGTTCTTCAAGAGCCAAATATGTTTCACAAGTCACGTTAAAAAATACATCTGAATTCTGAACTATATGCTACAATAATGATTTATTATAATTGATCGATCTTATAATTCTTTTCAAAAATGTAATAATCAAAAAATTTGTTTCGAGAAACGAAGACAAAAACCAAGCTAGATGATAAGATTTTTTTTTTTCGTGAAAATGTTATTGGAATTAGAAGACTTATTGTTAGTGAATTATAATTATAATATTTTTGAGATTCAGTTTGATTTTGGGGAATTTAAATCCTCGAATTATGTCCATGAAACTGATTATATGTATATTACTGCAGACAAGTCCTTCATTTATTTCGATTGCGATAATTCTCGGCTAATAAATAAAATTGCACAATTATCGAGTATGCGAATGCGTCGTTTCATCCAGGCGAACAATTTACGATATATAATACACGTCTATGCACATATAGGAGTACATATCTACACCCGATAGGATTTCTACGCTTCCATAAGAGAGTGACAGATTATTTACATCGATAATGATTGTACCTATGGTGATAATATCCCTGAATCGCCTCTGAAAATCTTATTATCGTTAACAATCGCGCACGTAATTTGTAGGAATTCGTTATGTTTGCGTTGCATAGTTCACGTCATGTGTAATTGTACATAGACAATAGCCACGTTAGAAATAAATGTTGTTACAAAAGAGCTTTCACGATTTATATATATATACATATATATATATATATATATATATATATATATATATATATATATATGTGTGTGTCTTTTTCTACAGTTTTAAAACCTCAGTATAATTAAGTTGCGATATCGTAATTCAAAAAATAATTGATAATAAATTTACCGTGCATGATAATAATATACGGGGCCAAGAATTTCGCGCATGTTTTTGTATGATGTACAGCGTACATATACCATTATTTATTTACATTATTATGTTTTTATTGCCGTGCGCGCGGCGTGAGAAATACAATGGTCGTGACGGATGACTATATATATATATA